GGGGCGCCCAGGTCGACCGCAGTCATTTCTCTAAGAGAACAAGCAATTACGCGTTCATCTTCCCATCCTACACGTGCTAAGCCTATCGCAAGGCTGGATTCGTCGAGGGCTGCAAAATAATAAAATTCTCTACTGGTTAATTCGGAAAAAATGGTCTTCCCTTTAACATTTTACCTATCTCATCCTGGATTCCTTCAGCTTTCTCCTCTACGATTTCTAACAATTGAGCAGCAGCTTCAGAGACTCTCATAAATCGCGAAGGCATGTATTCTTTTCTCTTTTTAGTAATGCTTTCTAAAGTAGGTTCTTTTACTTTAATGTCCAACAAACAGAGCGTGTGCAAGTCGCTCTGCCTATTGGAAACAATTTTCTCGTAGAAACTACTCGGTCGCCAATCTTTACTCCAATAAGGAACGGATACGGTTTCTCCAAAACGATACAATTGCAAACCACAACAACCGACTGCAGTTAAAATGGAGGCATTATGAACAATTTTCACCTGAATGATACAACAACAATTCTTAATGCAACTTAGTTATCTATTTTCCGTTCTACCATACTTTTATTCCTTACTTTTATATTCCTTTCTCGAGCTCGCAGTATCAGATCTGAATGAGTGGTAGCACCAAACGGATCACCTGCCACCAGAAAAGCAACATTTTCCTTCTCATCCTTCGGCAGTATTTCATTTGCATTGTTCTCGACTAATTCTCGGTCGGCCTCAAGTATCGGACGTCCATAAAGTTCTTCCTAATTCGACGAAATACGCTATCGTTGGTCTCTCCTATCATCGAACGAACAAGTACGATACGCGAAAATATCAAGAGTACTCACTCGGTCGTTAAGTAGGAAACTCGAGCAGACACATTATACGTTATCTACTTACCAAATCTCGCAAACCAACGGACAATATCGACGTGTACGATTCCAAATAGACGCGATCGCATATTCGAATAATTTCTAGACCTTTTACAGTAACATCGGTCGCATCGCCGAGACCTAATCCGATCACGTGAAACATTCTTCTCAAGTCTTCGCCCGAAACTTTTTCACCGATGCCGATTACGTTCCTCGAAATAATCTCACGAACGCTGCTAATCCAAATTATATTATTCGAGTAACTAGGAACGGTAGAGGGCTTCTAGGGTCTTTTACGTTTATTACTACCGTGTTAAAAGTACAAGATCCTGTATCGTTTCGCATGCGCGTGCTGCAGTCGAGCAGAGTCGAGCATGCAAAGTGGTGGAAATCGAATAGATCAGCTAGCTACTCGTTATTACTTATCGTCGTGCGGTACATATGTATGTACGATGCCAATCGTGATACGAGTCTTTTTCACTATCGTCGTCGACATTTCCTTCGAGAGGATATAAGGTACACTCGAGATACAGCAGCGTGCTTGGATCTGTATAATCCAAACAACTTCTTAGTCGACATTTTCTATGTATCGAACAAGTTTAACTTGTATTTAATAAAAATACCTTTGTGCAGAGTTTTTCGTACGTATGTACGTACATTCTGTTCGTAGTTGTATGCATGTTCTATCTATCAACTACAATTTCATACATGCGGTATACTCTTCTATGCATCTCGATATTTACAGTTTTTGTCGTGTCGGTGAAATCCTTCTTTCAACCCAGAAGAAGAATGGCGTTGCAACGTACATCTGTTCTATATCCAACTGCTGCTAATTTAAGGAAAGTCAACGGAGAAATGAAATTACACTTTCGATTGAGAACAACAACACCTTCGGGCGCTATTCTACCTGAACCAAAAAGAACACGTTTTGGTTTTCTGGGTGTTATATGCAGTGTTATGACAGGACTAGTCATCGGAGCTACTCTGAGTAAAATGATGGCTAATTTCCTCGAAGAAAAAGAACTTTTCGTACCTTCGGACGACGACGACGACGACGACGATTAGTTTAGTAGCAAAATCTTTGGCAAATTTTATAAAAATATTTTCAGCTTTTGTTTCTCACGTTGTCGATCGATCCTCGATCAGCTTCTGCAACGATCCTTCAGTGGTACAAAAAAAAAAGTACCGCAACGAAATACTCTTCTTTCGCAAAAAATTGCGCGACTTGACAATGCATTTGCAGTAGAACATTTATGAAAGTGTGACAAGGATCGAACTATGGTATCGCTCGATAAAACCTTTCTTTTCCAAAGAGACAAACGGACGTCGGCATAAACGTCGGTTAAATTTTGTAAATAGTGCATCGTTGAATGCAAAAATAAACGCAATAGGAGGAAAAAAAAAAACAGATCTTACTATTCTAAAGAATTACAAATGGAAATTGTCCTTCTTAGTTCTTTTATTCGTATAAACATAATAAATTACGGGCAGCAAAATGTCAAAACGAATCAAACTGAAATCTTCCATTGTACGTTTCACTGAGGTGGTCTTTTATGTGAACTCCATCCGTGGAAGCATTTGGTGAATCTACGGGATTCTTTGCCTTTCGCAGTTAGAAACAGTTTACGTGGTCTGTCCGGCTGTTTTACCCGTAAATGTTGAATGTATACCTAGAAACGATCGAACATTACTTTTTTTCTCACTGTTTTCGGAGAGACTGTGTATCGTCGATCTAATTATACAATTCGGCTCTACACAACATTTTTACCTGAGCAGACTTATACGCCAATTTAATCTCTACTTCGGAACAGCGGCTTCCTAACCACAAAAATACTTGTTCACCGTTGTCGAGTATCATGATATCATCATCCGCTAAATCATCCTGGAAAGGTAATCGTAAATTCGTCACACCTAACCCCATTCTTAACGCAAGATAATACGCCAGTTGATAAATTCGTCGTATACTTGACAAAAATCGGTGCATTTCTCGCTAATCGTAAAATATCCTTTCTCGTTCGAACATCTAAACAGTCTAGTGTAATTCATGTACTCCGCATCGGTGTCGTAAGTTTTCTTTCCACCAAGAGCTACCCAAAAAAAATTATCCGGTTCTTCACCTTCGTTTAAAACTTGGAGACTTATCCACGGCTGTATCCATCCGTTAACAATGCAAATAAAACGATTCATTGTATTCATTCAGCAAATATCCGACACTATAGATGAGATACTACATACGTTGTTAAACATTTCTTCAGCGATCTCTTGAATTAAACGAGCTTCATCGGTGTCCGCTTTAGAACCAATCCAAGCATATACTATTCCCGTTTCATCGTCGTTATTGAACGGTACATTTAAGATATAACTGCAAACGTAGTAACGGTGTTTACACGATCGAACGTACGTAACATGTATCGAAGAAAACGGAGCGAGCGAGAACCTACCAAAAAGAAGAATTCAACAGCGTCGAATCGGCCGGTATTTGTATCAGTCTAGTACACAATGCACTTCCATTACTCCTCAAGTGATAAAATTCAACCTTGTTACCGGTAGAAGAAGAAGAAGAAGAAGAAGAAGAAGCTTTAGGCTGTTTACGCTTGCCACGACGAATAATGAACTTTCTTTTAAAGTATGCTAAAAACTTTAAATTCTCTTGTTGCTGATGAGTTCTGACTACTTCTAAGTTCTCACCGAACAACGACTTAAATTTTTTCTGCAAACTAAAAAAATTAACATTATATATGTGTAACATTATCCAAGGGACCCGAATTTAAACATTCAGATTTTTCTCGCCCACCTAAACGTAAACGTCAGCCATCCCATATTTCCTGCGTCTCTTCCCTGCCAGAAGTATACCGTACATTGATAATCCTCTTCGAATTGCTCATCCCCGTCCTCGTTTTCCGTCGTATCTAACGGCTAAATGCTCAAATATGAAAGAGAAAACTATCGGTGTATCGCGCGAACAAGGAGAAGCAAGAGCAAGAAATCATCACCTACCATCCAATAACGACATAGAAACACGTAACAATCACCGCTGTAAAAGTGTCCCAATTCTTCTTCCGGCAAACGTACAAATTTTTTCCCTTCTAAAACCAACGCCTCCATTCCTTCCAAATCGTCGTTCCATTCTGACATCAACTGTTGAGCTTCGGCGAACGACATGGCTGGTTGTCTGGGCATAAAGAGCGCGGCTAGATCTGCCTGTTGTAATGAAATAATTCGATCGATTCAAAAGAAAGACCGGAAGAGATCGTTTTATTTCGCATACCTTCGTTTCCTGTTGTTTCGCCCATTTCGTAAGATCTGCGCCAGTTTTAGCAACCGATTCAGCAGTTCTGGTGAAATCAACCGCTATAACTTCGTCCCATCCGGCAAATTTCGATTTGAAGATCTAAGGGCGAGAAGAGAAAGAAAGAAAGAAAGAAGTATACACGCGATCAGGTCTTGAAATATCGTACCTGCGACTCAGTCCCTTCTTGTAACCTGGTTACCATCGCGTAATCCGCTCGTTCTATCATGTTGAACAATTCTTGGGAAAGCTTGACAGCAGCTGCTCGTACCAATCTAGTAGATTTTTTGCCGAACCTATATACCATGCATTGTGTAATAATTCAAGTTATATCAGATGCAGCGAATGTATATTTATACGTATATATATATATATACCAAACGTAAACATCTACATGACAATCCAATATATAAACATTGCGATTGTTCAAAAGCGTGTTGGTAAGTTTTCCACGAGGCACTTCGACTTGAGGCAATTCCAAATAACCCATGCCAAGTTGAACTTGATACAGACGCGGTGCAAGTGGCATAAAATTTGGATCTACGTGTTCCTGTAACGGGGGGAATCGCAATAAGATTCCCAACAATATCCAAGTATGCAATATCTAACTTACAGAGATCGCTGGCACCTGCGAAGTATCTTCGACGTTCAAGCACGATAGAAAGTCATCCGACTCTGAATTCATTATTTCCGTTACTATCTCCGCTTTATTCTTCCTTTCGTTTTTGTTGATTTTTTCAGCCATTAACCTTGCTTTCGACTTCAGCGTACTTTTCGCTGTTTTGCCGTACCATATGAAAATCTTGTTGCCAGTGTCTAAGACGAATACGAAACCCGAATCCAGAGAATCGAAGCGAACTGGAACCGGTTCCAAATGAATCGAAGCTCCCGCAGCATGTACTCTATAGAGTCGTGTTACCGAAGGCTGCTATGCGCACCAATCGATTCCGAAGTGAACATTAACGATAGAACGTGTGAAAACAACAACAACAACAACAACAACAAGTGAAACTTGAATCGTACATTCAACGATACAAACCGTGTCTTCGACCGTGTAAAAGCCAGACGAGGTTCGACCTCCTTCGATGTACGTAATGCCAGATTCGAACAGCATTAAAAATTCGTCCGATTCCTCGCCTTGTTCTTCTCTGATAGTACGACACTGCGCACCTAGATAGTTGCGTAAGTTTACAGCATGAATTGCTGCACACGCCCTTTTGTCTAACTGTAAAATACGACGAAAAGAAGAACATGACACGTTTTTTATCCAATTACGCCGTACCGTACCGTAGCTTTTTCCCCTATCCAGAAATAAATCGCCCAAACCAGAGAACCAGCTTCGTCGATCTCTGTTTTTAAAACAATGTAGCAATCGCCTTCGTAAAATTTTCCATGAGCGACTTCTTCTATTTCGTTAGGTAGAAAATTCTCTATTTCCCACACCGATAAACCAGCCACTTGACCGGCATCTTCGTCGAAAAATTCAGAATAATCCAAAGGCGGTTTTTCCAGAGTTTCGTCCCATCGTTTAGGTCTTCGTTATAGTCAAGAAAGAGTGAAAATTAAAACTTTTT